GGGAGATGCTACGTGGTTAGATTCTGCAGGGCATAGTGGCTAATTGAAAGACGGTAGCAGTGGGTTAAGTGGAGAAGACTCTTGGGTGCAGATTTCTGGCTTGAGAGCCTGGAAACAGAGAAGATCCATTCACAGCCACATAGATTTTGAGGTGTCTGAGGGATGTACAGGAAAAGCTGTTTAGCAGGCAGTTGACCTAAGAAGTATGGAGCTCATTTAAGGGTAGCTGAAACTATGAAAATAGATGAGTTGGCCCAGGAAGAGGTAGAGGGAGGATGAGGGAAGGCAGGTGTTAAACAATGGAATTTGAGATGTTGTCAAGATGAAGCATGAGAACAGAAACTAGGAAGTTGTAATAGGTAGGAATAGTCAAGATTTCAATTAAGGTCAAGTAAAGTGAGGACTACAGTGAGTTTATAGTTTATTCAATTTAGAAACTAGTAGCAGCTTTTTCCACAACCCTTTTGTTAGAGCAGTTGAGGCAGAATCTTAACCTCAATGGGCTAGGAGAGTTCATCTGTTAAGGGCGGGACAGAGATGCTGTGGTAGAAATGTAGAAATTGTAACAGAGTTCATTGTGTTTTGTTGTGTTTAAAATGGAAAGGGGAAGAATCCATTAAAAAGGTAAGTTTACAAATGCAGCTTAAAGAGAAGGGATATAAACTCATATCCACATTACTGACCTACCAAAAACAAAGTAAATGACTCAGTAGAGACAGTACTGGATTTGGCTTTAAAAAGAAAAAAAAAATTGGAGTCCAAATCCTACCTGCAGTAAGTACACTTTGTAAGGTCACCTCCTAGACCCTCTGTGCCCGTTTCTGTGAGATGGGACCACTAGGAACTACATCATAGAGAGTGTAAGGATGGGGTGAGAATACCTGTGGGAGAGTGCCTGGTGCTGTGGTGTACTGTGTGTTTGGTAAATGGTTTTCTGAGTCATCCCATTAAAGGTCTGATAGGGCATGATCGATGTAATCACTGTTGCTTTCTTTACCATTTTTGTTCATATAATTTTTATCTCTTTAGGAATTTGATGACAGGCTCTGTTAGTCTGTTCCTCCCTTATTTGAAGGACAGGCCAAAGATCCAGTTTGGAAATGAGAGAGGACTAGCATGACACATTGGCTCCACCATTGATATCTCCCAGAGGTACAGAAACAGGATTCATGAAGATGTTGACAAGACTCCAAGTTCTTACCTTAGCTTTGTTTTCAAAGGGATTTTTACTCTCTTTAGGGGACCATAACTTTCTAAGGAGAGAGATTAAAATAGAAGGTGACCTTGTTTTAGGGGGCCTATTTCCTATTAATGAAAAAGGCACTGGAACTGAAGAATGTGGGCGAATCAATGAAGACCGAGGGATTCAACGCCTGGAAGCCATGTTGTTTGCTATCGATGAAATCAACAAAGATGATTACTTGCTACCAGGAGTGAAGCTGGGTGTTCACATTTTGGATACGTGTTCAAGGGATACCTATGCATTAGAGCAATCACTGGAGTTTGTCAGGGCATCTTTGACAAAAGTGGATGAAGCTGAGTATATGTGTCCTGATGGATCCTATGCCATTCAAGAAAACATCCCACTTCTCATTGCAGGGGTCATTGGTGGCTCTTACAGCAGTGTTTCCATACAGGTAAGATTAGCTAATGCTATTGCTAAAAGGCTATGTCTCTTTGCTTTTACGTTTTTGGGGAACAAAAGGGAAATATCGTAATAACTTCATCAATGGATTATATCAACAATGCAATTATCATTTTTTCTGGTTATAATTTGATAACATAGGTTTGCAGGCAGAAAATTTTTCTACCAATGAAAATTGTTTAGAAGCATATCAGGTTGCTATTGCAACATTAAATGGAGGCTGGGTTTCACTGGGGGCAGCTATGGTTGTCTCTTCTCCTCCTGGAATCGATCATCTATAGAGCCCAGGAATGTTCTCTGAGTGATGGCAGAGGTGCAAGAGAATGCAAACTCAGCTGTACAAAACTCCTTCAAGTTTCTGCTTGCTTCACACCTGCTAACATCCCATTAGCCAAAGTAACTCACAGGGCTCAACCCAGAGTGAAGAAGCTGGTAAGTATGCCCTGCCCACAGGACAAATGCTGCAGCTACATAACAGACTGTCAAGGTAAAATGAAATAATAATTTGAAGCCACTGATACAATCAAACACAAGAAGGCATAATGTCATGGAACTCCATTTTTCCCATTAATTTTTACTAAAGCATTTTTTTGTTCAGAGATAAAATATAAATAATTCATCAGGATATAAACCTAAAATGTATACAGAGAAGCCAGAGGATGCTACCATTAAAAAAAAAGAAACATTTAACACATAACTTAAACCAGATATAAAGCTAATAATTGGCTGTCATAATTTTGTTGGAAAGAAGAAATATACAAACTCTTGCAATCCTTACTTACAAGGTTATACATTTTATAGAAGGAAATAAGTGAGAAATCATCTAGCTCAACTTTGTCATTTTCCCAATCCCCAGAAAGATTGGTTTCATGAAAACTCCCACTGGTAGAAAGTACAAGAACTAGAACTCAGACAGATCTTTTGTACTTCTGTGCTCTTTTAACTACCCCATGTGATATTTATATGTTACTTTAAGTTTAGTATTTTTTCTGATGAGAGCACTAATGTCACAGTAATAAAAGTCCATGATTCTAAGAGTCATACACTTCGCCTCCCACCAAATTACTATAATCAAACCCCAAGCACTAAAAGAAACTATACTACACTCATGTTATCTTTTTATGTCAAGAACCACTTAAATTGACTATATTTGCACTGGAATAACCTTCTTTCTCTAGCTCACATTTGTGGCATCTAAAATTCTAGGTATAGGCTGGGTGCTATGGCTCTTGCCTGTAATCCCAGCACTTTTGGGAGGCTGAGGCAGGCAGATCACCTGAGGTCAGGAGTTTGGGACCAGCCTGGCAAACATGGTGAAACCCTGCCTCTACCAAAATATAAAACATTAGCAGGGCATAGTGGGACACACCTGTGTTCCCAGCTACTCGGGAGGCTGAGGCAGGAGAATCACTTGAACCCAGGGGGCGGAGGTTTCAGTGAGCCAAGATCAGGCCACTGGCCTCTAGCCTGGAGCAACTGAGCAAGACTTCATCTCAAAAAAAAAAAAATGTAAATAATAATAAATACATAGATACATAAAATAAAATTCTAGGTATAATTCTGTGTGATTCTCTATGAGCTATGTGAAATTTATTTCCTTCTTCAGATTACACCATCATATTATGAGTAATTAGGATAACTGGTTTTAAATAAACATCCTTACATTTCACTAGATGAATAGAAAATATTGCACATATGAAAGCACATCATATTAATTTTGCCACTCTTTCTATACTTGGATCAAGAGAGATGAAAAATGTTATTTTATTTGAGAAAAGAGAATATATATATATATGAAGTATGACAGATTTCATATATGTGTATATATAGTCTGTCATACTTCAATCATAATTTCCCGATGAATGCCAGTCATTTCACAAATTTATATTATACTCAATATTACCACTAGTAAGGGCTTATATATATATATATATGCTTTTTCTCATCTTAGTTTCTCCTAGTGCAATAAATGGTACTCTGCAGCAGATGTGTAAATATCCCACTTATCCAAAGTAATTGAGAAACTGTGCCCTGCAAATGGCCTTTTTACAATCTAATTTTACTCTTTTACTACCTATGTATTCCCTGAAAGAAGACAGACCAGTTTAGAGGAAAAAATGTGGGCTACTAAAACCCTGTACTAGTTAGTTCCCAAGGGCAGAAGCCACTTCGTACTCATTGAAAGACCTATCTCATTATTTCATTTATCTGGTCAATATCACCATAAAGTCACAAATGTTGATAAAGTTCTTATCTTCACAGCATAAATAAAAAACCCCAGACTATCATGCTATAATTGAAAGAGTATAGATTTTGGCACCAGAAAGACCTGTGTTTGATTTCCAACTCCACCGTTTACTGGTAAATCTGTAAAATGAAGAAAATATTGTCTACCTCAAAAAGTTAGAGAGGGGATAAATTAAGAAAATCTATGGAAATGCCTCACCAAAAACTGACAGATTCAATAAATGGTAACTTTATGTCCCTAAAATTATAGGACGGGTCAGTGGAAAGCCATATCTAAAGCCAATTATGTGGACTTCTCTGGTGCCCAAGCAGTCTCATGAAGTCATTGTTGGTTTCCCACATGGTTAATCAGCAAGTCAGTCTCTGTTAAGCTCCTACTGTGTGTACTGCACTGTGATAGGAGTTAGAGCGAACACTAAAGTCATATAGAACACAGCCCTGATCTCAAGAAACTTAAAATCTGGCTATGGGTACAATGTGCTCTGAAATAACAGTGACTATAATTCAGAATATGTTCATGTAGCTCACAAAGTAAGAAATGACCTTTAGAAAGGTTTTAAGGATGAATAAGAATGAAAGTAGCATCGGAGAAAGGCTAACAGGGTGACAGTGTAAATGAGATGCTGGATCTGAAGAAGCCAATCAGAAAATTGTGGGAGACGTCCTTGTACAAGAGGATAAAGGCCTTGACATGAGTAAGAAGGACAGGAGAGAGGGCTCCATTCCCTCCTCCACGGCTCCCACGTTTCCTGACTACTCAGACTCTGATTAGGCTACAAATTCATCCAGGCCGAATCAAGCAAAGAGTTGGAGCAATTAGTCTATACACTGACCCCCAGGCACCCTTCCAAGGAACCCTTCCATACAGGGTCCTGTGTTCAGCTAGGCATCACGAATAGTAAGAGGTGTTAGGTGGCTGTTATGTAGCTAATAATTAAATTGTATTATTCCTTTGAAACATATATGTCCTTTAATAAGAATTCTGAAAAATATAGTCAATGGTAATCCAAAGCCATAAATTCCTAAAGGTGAATTTAAGGCCCTCTTATACACTAATGAGGGAAACATTTTTGGAGAGAGGATTTTTCTGGGTCCCTCTCATACTCACATGCTCCTGCTCCTGTGACTGATTCTGGTCATACACCTGGTGTGTGGTAACCGTGGTGACAGTGTGCAGCCTGTAGCATTGCCATCCATTTTTAACTGCTTTTGACTTCCTACATATGTACTGGAAATTGTCTTTGCTTGAACTGAGCCGGGGGAAAAAAGAGGGTGGAAGAAATAAATGAGTATGAACCTGTCACAAAATTTTAAAAATTCCTGCTGTCTAATTATAACATCTAGTCCCAAACCAGAGCTCAGGGTTTTCCATTACAAATTGCCTGTTGAGAGAGAACTTTAGAGAATGACAGCATTTTGTACATCTTCCCTTTTGTGGTTGGGTCAGTTTGGACATTGCAATCTCCCCATTTGGGCCTGGATTTTTCCGCTGAATTGCCTCAGGACGTGCTTTCTCTCCAGCTTCCTCTTCTTTTCCCATCTTCCCACTAAAGGAGAGAAATTTTTCCGGAAGGCAGCACAGGAGATATCACCTGCTGTGTTAGTTCATACAATAGGCAGTGTTTGCTGATAGGAAAACTGCATGGAGTGGAATTCTTAATGACTTGCTGGGTTAAGCTGTATCACCACTGATGAAGAAACTGGATACTTATTTTCCCAATGCTCTTATTAAGTACAACAAGCGAGTCTGTGGTGGTCCCTTTTATAAAACAACAGTATTGATTTCTTAATTCAGTAATCAATGAAAACTAACATCAAAATCCTTCTATATTAGCAAATATATGTGGGAGTCTATTCACCCTCCCTGGTGAATAAGTTTCTTTCAAAGCATTTTTAAGACTGTATCCTGCTCTTCTCCATAAGCCTGCAATCCACCCACTTCAGGGAAAACAGTATTTATTCAAGAAAAGAATCAAGTTGGTTGCCGTTAGGCAATTGTCTACATGGTACTTGTTTTGAAACAATGATAATGCTTGCGATTTAAAATAGACTGTAGTTAACTGCTAAGTTGTTCAATCAAAAATGTTCCTTGAAATGACCCTCACTCTTTCCAGAGAACACGTCATTTCTTCAGTCTTTCTTGCCTAGATGGAGCAAATTTTAATTAGAACATAGCAGATACAAGTTGACCCAGTTATTGTTTTGTCCCTGAGTGTTAAAATGACTTCAGGAACAAATGAAGATTTGGCTTAGATGGTATGTAAAAGTTAAGCTCATAGAAAGTGCGGAAGAGAGCCTTGAAAGGACTTTCCTATCTCTTTCCCACCCCTGGCATAGAAATTTTCCAGAATTTCTAGCACTATTCACATTCCAGGGACACTCTAACTCAGGAGATGGTTATTATCACATAGTGTATCACGACATGACACGCATTGTTCACATTATATCCCTGAGAAGACTAACTCCTGAAATTAAATCCCTTGCAGTAAATTTCATAGGTTTTAGCTATATGGGGAAGAGGGAAGAGCATATAAAGACAACACTCTATTATACCCCCTCCACTCAACTCCACAGTGCTCAAGGGGACCACTGCTGGTCAATTTGTATTAAGCATTGGTTTCTTTCAATGATTCATTCCTCCTTTAAATTCAAATGTTTTGGGGAAAAGTCACACATTAATTGCCAGTTTTCTTATAGGAGCATAGGAAAAAATAGTTGCAGAACTTGGGAGTGTAGTAGCCTTCATATAGTTAGCTGTCTCCAAGTATCTGATAGACTGCTGAATGGAAACAGGTACACTCTCTCTGTGGACAAATTGGTTGACTCTAGAGCAGAGTTTCTCAAACTTGGCACTACTGCTGTTTGGGGCTGGATATAGGGCTGTCCTGTACACTGTAAGATGTTTGGTAGCAACACCAGCCTCTACCCATGAGATGCCACCAGCACCCCAAGCTTTGACATCTAAAAATGTTTCCATACATTGGCAAGTTACAAAATTATTCCCTTTCCTCACTGAGAATCACTGATCTAGAGCAAGGTATATTTAGAGTCAACATAAGGAAAAGTTCTTAAAAAGGAAATAGCCTGGAAGGAGAAGGGTTGAAGGAAGTGAGTCCTCTGTTTCTGGAGTTATTCAAGCAAAAGTTGGCCTGTTACTGAGGAGACTGGAGCCACATATTAGTATTTGAATGACATGGCATTTAAGAGTATTTCTTAATGTTATAATTATATGTTATTCTATGAAAATACTCTACTGTTAGGGTTGAAGTCGTTGCAAAGGAAGTATTTAAAATATGGAGCAGAAAGTTTACATAATGGGCTCTTTTATATCAGGATCACTTTGAAGCAGAAGTCCAGTCAATTGTTATTTCACTTGATTATATTAGTATTTTTGCAAATTTCATGAATTAAGCATCTTATTTACCTATATATTATAACTAGGGTTCTCATATAAAATCATTTTTATCAGAAAATAAGCATTTATTAAGCATGTATATATTAAGCACAGCAAGAACATTATTTTACAGAACATTATCATGTAGTCTTGACATGGAGTAGAGAGAACGTAAAATAAAATTTTAAAATAGTAGATATCTTACAAGCTTCTGAGGGATGTAGAAGCAAATGGAAATATCAAGACCATACATAAAACAGGTCCAAGTATAGAATCTGAGTATCAATTGACAACATAAGTACAGGGAGATCAGAAAGAGAACAGAATGAGCAGAAAGGAATGGGATTGAACATCAGAAAGACCTAAGATATACATAAACAGCAAACCTGCCTTTGAAGCCTTCCTGGAAAATTGCTTTCTCATAGTCTGCAGGATGATATCTGCACAGTCTTTCATATATGAGGGAACATAGTGTTTCATCCACCTAGAATGCAATGTTCTTCAGCTGTCTGTATGCCTTGCAAATCCCACTTTCCTTCAGTCCTCCCCTCAAATCCTATCCCTGTGAGAACCCTTTCCCAAGTACTCACCTCATAAACATGCACCTCCATTACTAAGTACATATAACTGTTCATTTGCATATTTATTCTTCCATGAACTATAAACCACTTGAGTTTAAGAACGACGTCTTGGCCGGGCGCGGTGGCTCAAGCCTGTAATCCCAGCACTTTGGGAGGCCGAGACGGGCGGATCACAAGGTCAGGAGATCGAGACCATCCTGGCTAACACAGTGAAACCCCATCTCCACTAAAAAATACAAAAAACTAGCCGGGCGCGGTGGCGGGCGCCTGTAGTCCCAGCTACTCGGGAGGCTGAGGCAGGAGAATGGCGTGAACCCGGGAGGCGGAGCTTGCAGTGAGCTGAGATCCGGCCACTGCACTCCAGCCTGGGCGGCAGAGCGAGACTCCGTCTCAAAAAAAAAAAAAAAAAAAAAGAACGACGTCTTTTTTTCTTCATATTACTGATAGTTAGAATAATGTCTCAACCAGGTAGACAGTAAGTCTTTGTTGAATGAATTGAAAGAATTGATTACCTATGTACAATTGATAAGAACTGAAGGATGTTAACCTGCTATACTTCCAGAAGGCTGAAAATCTTTACGGGAATCTTGGATGAAGGGTCACAACCATCACCCACCTATTCTAGATCAGTCTGGATGCTCATAAATGAGAAATAAGCACTTTCCTGCAATGGAAGATTGGTTTAGATACAAAAGACAAACGATGTTGCAAGGCGAGCAGACAGGACCAAATTGCCCCTATCATCCTCACCCGCATTCTTTACACATGTGCCACAGATGCCTTGATCTGAGAGAAGTTCTAGGGGTTCCATTACAATTGTTCTTAGACCGACTATTCCAGAGAAGACAATCCAAGGCTCAACACAACTAGACAGTGCCATTTCGAATGTTAGAGCCTGCCTAGCTGTCTGCAGTCTCTCCACAGGAAGAATATGCAGGAAAACATTTTATGCCAGATGCTGTGCTTGTAGCTAATGCAAAGGCAAAGAGAACATCATCCTATCCTCAAGAAAAGCAGAGTGACAGTATTAGAAATCCATTCACTACTCTATCACCGGTGTCTATCACTAGAATAGTAAAAATGATAGTTGCATTTAGGGAGTTTCATACAATGATTATAGCATGGATATGTTACAATTGTACATTTTTAGTGTGCCTTTCTTGAAAAATTTCAACACAATGATTAAAACTGTGCAGACTGACTAGGATTCACTTAACCCCTCATTGTCTCTTTACTCATGTCTAACATTGAGATTTTTTTTTTATGATTTCAACTTTTATTTTCGATTCAAGGGCCACATATGTAGGTTTATTACTTAGGAATATTGTGTGTTGCTGAGGTTTGGGGTACAAATGATCCTGGCACCCAAATAATGAACATAGTATCCAGTGGGTAGCTTTTCAGCCCTTGAACCCCTCCCTACCTTCTCCCCCTATTAGTTCCCAGTGTCTACTGTTGCCATCTTTATGTACATGTGTACCCAGTAACATGGGGATATTCGTAGTACCTCTCTCATTGGGTTATTGTGGGAATTAAATAAGAAAATACATGAAAAATGAGAAAATAGTGCCTTGTATACTTAGCAGTCAACATTTTAGTAGATATTATTATCTATTACCTTTTATTTATTATTTATTTATTTATTTATTTATTTTACTTTCAACATCTCCAGCCCAAAAGGAACAGTTTAAAGAGGAATTCAGACTCAGAGGTCAAGTTCCGAGTTCAAGTTTCTATCACTTCAAAAGTAGCAGAATCAACATGAGAATCCAGATAGCTTGCCTCCCACACCAACCACCGCCTCACATCGTCTAAGCTGCAGAAAAACCTGACTCAAAAGTTATCTCAGACAGAATCTTTTTTCATTTATTTCCTTCCCAGACGTTTCATTCTAAAGCAATCTCACAATGCTGATTGTTTTGAAACCTCCCTCCATTGCTCCTGCTTCACCTCCTCCAAGAAAGGGCAGTGCTATTCAAGGACTTTATCACAGGGAGAGAGGCACCAGCAATAACAATTAAAAATGCTTTTGTTAGCATTGCTTCATTGTAGACATGTCTCATCTGAAGTAATTATCTGATATGCTATTTTTTTTCCTTTGCATTGGGGTTAATTTGTTTCTTAATTAATTCCCCTTCTTTCATGTGTTTATTTGGAAACTACTCTAGTGAAAGATAAGAACTTACCATCAGGACCACTGTTCACAAGGCAATAGATGGTCCATGCTCTGAACCAGGCTTACACTGCAGGTCAGGTGTCTATGATGGAGGTCATGCAATGAAAAGCAAAGAATACAGACATTCAGACATTCCTAAGATAGCAGCGGTGTTTTATGCTATGATTATAGATTAATAGGTAAACTTTTGAAATAGGACTCCTGACACTTCTGGTTAAACCTATGATATTTTGCCTTAATGACGCAAAGTTCTCCTTCCAAATTACCGTTAAATATGTGCCTTTTTTGTGGATTGATATGTACAATTTCAGTATTTCAATATGGAAAGAGCAACTGTTGGCAGTTTATAATAAGGCAGGTCCATGGATCTCATGTAGTATAAGTACTTCTACTGATCTATGGAAAATTCAGTTGAAAATTCACAGATTACCTTTCTAATTAGCGGACTTTGGGAATTTAAGAATAGTGTTCCAAAAACACCTGCAGTTAAACTCCAAACAAACGATACTCCAGGAGGTTTATCAGTGGGACTTTGAACACTAAAACTGTAGTGTGACTATTTTTGACAACACCACCTGGTATATTGTGGAAATCTCTTTGTTATTAGTAACAAAGTTTTGATTCTTGCCAACACTTTGGCTTCACATTCCAATAAAGTGAACTGCAATACAGGGGAGAATTCAATAGAAGCAACACCTTCAAAAATTATATTTTAAACATAGACCACATTTCCTTGCCAAGCGGTCAGAATGGCAAAGCATCTTGACAGATTTGCCATCACTTAATAGTGTTGAATTGTCAGGGTGTTTACCCAAGGGACTAGCAGTTTTTTCTCAGGCACAGTGCCTCCAATTTGGGTAGATACCATAAGGTTCACAAATGAGGCCTCATAGAATGCAAACCAGGCAATTAAGCTTTTCCAATATGGAAAACAGATGTGGTTGAACAAATGAACTGAAATTTGTTCTGAATTTCTCAATAAAAAGTAAATTCCATCTAAATAAAAATATACATGTGCATTAAGTCTACATTACCTATATTTACAAAGTAGTTTTAAGAAAGATTATTTATACAAGATTTAAAGGAATGTAACATCACACAATATACCCACCTAACAAATATGAACATGTATCTTCTTGCGCTAAAATTAAATTAAATTAAAAAGTAAAGGAAAGTAACAATAAATGCAGGTTGGTACCATCCAGAAAATTTCAACTGTTACCAATGGCTATGTAACTGACTCTCAGCTCTTATTTTTACGTTAAATAAATATTTTTTGTATTATCTTTTCTAAGATGCTTCTAGGAATTTAAAAGTTCTTCATCTTTCCTAGAGACCTTTCTCCAACAACCATTATTATTTATGACCTGCTTTTTTCCAGGAAGGATTCAAGGTGACCTGTAATGACACAAAGAGGAGAACAAATAAAAACATGAGTACTTGGGTAATTACTGCCAATGAAATAAAATGGTTTTAAGTAGGCTCCATTTGTTTTAAAGCTCCAATCTTTATATTTATATTGTCAACTTACTCAGCATTATTGAGATGACATCGTTCCTAGCTTTCAAGAACCATAGCCTAAGTCAGAATGACTAGTTTGTTCATCTGATTGCCCTTCCCTGACTCATTCCTTTCAAGTTGGATATCATCCACTGTGTCTTTTTAAAACATAACTTTGGTCATGTCGTTTCCTTAATAAAAAATTTAATAGCTTTTTATCTCTTAAAGAACAACGTTCAAAATACTTATAATGCATATAAAATCCTAAGTGGTTTAACCACCATCCTTCTATCCTTCTTTACTTCTACTAATCCCTGTGAGGCACTGGGTACCCTGAAAATAGGGAACTACCTGATACTATTAAAGCAAATATGTACTTTCTCATCTTTGTCTTTGTGTTCTCTCTTCTATGTAAAAACCTCCTTTCCTCTTCCTCTGCCTGGAAAACTTCCACTTATTCTTCAACATCGAGCCTATATGTTACCTCTACATGGAGGTCTGTGATGACTCATCTAAGTGTAATTAGTTGCTCTTCACCTGTGTTTTTGCATAAGTTTGTATACATACATATCTTAAAATTTTATCCTTCACTATGTTTCTTTGTCTCCCATCAAATTACACCTTCCTGGAGGACTGTAGGGGTACATTGCTCATCCAGAAAAAGAAAACTAGATTTTAGAATAGTGCCTTGTATAATCGACATCAGTCAAAGTTTGCTGAATGAGTGACTATGAATTAGCTATTACCACGCTCTCTATTGCTTATTGAGCATTTACTATGTGCCCATCGGTGACTTAAGTGCTTCATATGTTTTCATGTAATCTTTACATAACTTCCTAAACCACAGATTACTATCCTTTCCTTTTGACAGATGAAATTGCAGCTTAAGGAGTTAAAATAACTAGCTGAAGGCCACACAGCTAGTGAAAGGAGGAGCTGAGATTCCAATGCTGGCCTGTCTGATTCCAACCCTGTGCACTATTTGCTTCTTTTGCTTCAATACCATTTGCGTCTTTTGTGTCTGACAGCTCTATTGAAGTAAAGAGCAGTTAATAAGAAAACAATGAATAACACAATTCTGTTTGCTACAATATGGTGAATATAACTTTGCCCTAAATTATTGCCCCAAGACCTCAAGAGTAAATGATAATCATTTAGGGAAATATTAGGCTATAGCCCTCAGCTATCCCCAAGCGTACCCAACAGCTTTTGTCCTTTGGTTAACAACTGACAAAGATTGGCATGCTTTTTGTTATTGATAAGGCCATATTTTTTGTATTATTCTTATACAAGTGACTTCAGGGACCACAGAAAAATATAGATTAGTTCAACTTGTGGCTCTGTTAAAACTTCAAGAGACATTGTCAAAAATCAATACCTGAGGCACTAAAGAATGTGTTTCTAACAAGTCTTTTGATGTCAAGTCACCCTGGAAGTCAGGTTTTCGCAGGTGTTGCTGGCAAACACAAACACACTTGACACCCAATATGACATAGACTTTTTGATCCTGTTGTTAGGAACTGGAACACGAACCACTTCACTTCTGCGATTTCTCCTGAAAACTAATGCATAGGGGAAAAGGGCAGCAAAGAGCAGATGCAGACTAATTCAGTGGGCAAAATACCTTCTTGTTTGTCTTGTAAGTATCTGCTAAATCTGGATGGAAAGAAAGTTACTCCCGAGATAGTTCATTGTTAGTGAGGGAACAAGCTAGGTATTTGAATATGGAGTAGCATTGTGATGGTGAGAAATGACATGTCTTATAATACCAGTCTCCTGAAATGATAGGATTCGAGGAATCCTTTGTGGTCTGTATATCATTTCAGCCTAAATGATGAGTCATGAAAATGCCAAAATGACTAACCTTACTATTTAAGAAGTCCTTCAGTTTCAAATGAAGAAAATAAAAGTGGATGACAATCTTGGTTACAAACCACAGGAATTGAGTGCAACGATTTCCAGAGAGACTTGGGATGGAAAGCAGAGTGACTTTGAGCCATTTTTGAAGGTTTCCACTATGATTAGGTGGTCCTTTGTTTGGAATGTCCACGTGTAAAATCATTGGTACTGAGCCATGCTGTTGAATGGTGATAACCAATATGGATCTTTGACTCAAGTGTTTTGGGGGCCCATGGCACATAGGAGTTGTTGACTTCTTCAGATTATACTGCGTACACTGGTATTTGCTATACTTCATTATACGATTTCTTAAATCAACATTAATTCCTGGTCTTGGGATGGGCATCAATTGTTTTCATGCAAAATATTCCCAGATGTGCTACAGGTAATGTGGTCAAAACAAAACAAAACAAAAAAGGTTACTAATCCTTTTAGCAATAACAATATGATTGGCCTCCTTTATGGGCAGATAACGCAGCTGATGTGAACAGCTCGAATTTCTCAGGCAGTTTTGTCAACTATATACCACCCCCAGTTCCAGTTTAAAATACAGGCCAATCTGGGATTTTGTACAGCTAATGATGCAACTTGAACAAGCTGAATAGGAGCGACACTGAGGTCTCTGAACATCACAACTTCTAGAACTTGTTTTTATGTAATAACCTGTGCTGTGAGGTAACAGATGGTTCAAAGTGCAGCAACTCAATGATTCTCTTCCAGGCACATATATAAGCATTTAATTAAAAGAACTAAACAAAATATTCAGTACTGCATGTGTGACAAAGCAATTAAAGGTGTAGACTTATTGTTAGAAAACAGCCCCAAAGAGATAGGTGAACAGCAGAGAATAAACATGAAGGTTATTATCAAGTCTCCTGATTACAGGACAGTAGCAATGGTTTATTTTTTAAATGTATATAGTTCAGCTCTGTAAATAGCATTCTTCTTGGAAGTGGGCATTTGATGCCTCTTTGCCATCTGGAATTTTTGTAGCTAAGTATAGATTCTCATAAAAACTATTTATTATTGTTCCCTTTAATGTATTAGTACAAATTCAGAAGCCAATAACTGTAAAACTTCTGAAAATAATTCTCATGGCAAAAAAAACACTTTAGTGGGAAACCTATTTCTACCAGATTCTACATGTCTACAGTCCTTTTGTCTTTTGTTGAAAAAAAATATTTGGCATTGTGTCAGCATAGAAGGCACAAAGCTCTGTTTGAAATTGATACATCGTGAAATTGATACACCTGAGTAGAAATAGTAAACGAGGAACTGATGTGGGGGCTCGCAAGTGACTGATATTTTCCAGTTCACATTCTCTTTTTTCAGAACACAAAAAGAATAGAGTAAACTGCCTGAGATCTTTCTCATAGCTTATATTCTCTTGCTCCCATGATCATAGCATATTTCATGATAAGCAATGCACAACATGTGATAAATCAACACACAGAAATAGAAGAACACTATGTCAATGAAATAAAAAGCCGTATATTAAAAATTCACAGCTAATGTCACACTCAGTGGTAAAAGACTGAAAGTTTATATTCAACATAATATGGGAAGTTCCAACCCCTAGTACCTTAGAATGTGACTTGATTGAAAAATGGTGTCATTGCCTATGTACTTAGGTTAGGATGAGGTCATACTGAAGTAGAGTAGGTTCCTAATTCAATATGACTGGTATTCTTACACAAAAGCAAAATTTGGATACACACACACACACACACACACACACAAACATACACACACACTCATCATTGAAATAAAGCATGGCACCTGGGATCCTAAAAAGAAGGCTCCATGGCTTGTTAGAAAAGATCAGGAGAAAATAAAACTTCCAAATAAATTAGTATTGAACTAAAAATTCCCGTCAGTGAATGAGTATGGCTTGGATGCCTACAGTATCATCATTCCACAACTGGCTATTGATTGTGGGAAAAAAATAAAGTTTTAAACATTCGCAAAGCAAGAATAAGTGAGTAAGTGGTGTTAATTGATTCCTGAGAGTCTACATCAATTCCTTGTCTTATGTGTCATCTCATTTTAATTAAAAAAAAATACGATTAGTTAAGGATCCACACTGCACAATAAAATTGTTTCTCAGTCATACTTTAGAGTAGCTTCATATTGCCTGCTGGTGGTCAACTTTCCCCCATGTGTGCACGTGCACACGTGCACACACACACATAAACCCATCATTATAATTGGAAAATGTTACATGGTAGAGCAGCAAAATATCAATTCACTCATCAATCCATTTAACAAATATTATGGAGCACCTCTATACCCTGTGAGGCATTGAGAATTCAGAGATTAACAAGAGTTCTCACTCCAGTGGAGAATTTAGTGAATAATCTAGAAATCACCATATATTTTCATTAGTACCATGAGAGAAACACATGAGGGAATGAAAGAGGTTCAGAGAATGGGCACACAAGTCATTCTGAAGTCAGGCATTAAGAATGGTTCCTTAGAGAAGAAGCCCTTGAATGGATTAGCTGAGCAGACAAGTAGTAAAGGTCATTCTAGACAGAAGGAACATCATAGTATGTCAGAGCTTCTCCATAAAATTGAGTTTATTTGGAAGAAAAAAAAATTGGGAAAATAGTGGCAGATATTTAATAACATTTAACAATGGTTTGTTGGACAACTACTGCAAGTAAAGCCCATTTTAAATTACACCAGCTTACAACTACAACAATGGAAAAAAGACAAAAATACTAATTTTATAACATCACACCTGCTGGCAAACATAATTGTATCTGGCCAAGTCCAGCATTTCTTCTTGAGCAAAATTAGTCACATCTGTGACTTGATAGTCTGCAGTGAAAACATTGCAACACCTAAGTCCTGGATAAATTCAAACCACCAAGAAAATGGGTACCTCATAGTATTTGAACATTGAAAATCAAATGACAGTACATGCTACATATGGAAAGAGCTTCTGCTAAACATCACTTACTTGCATGCAGACTCTCAGGCCCAATGGGTTCTGCTATAAGGTCATTGAGTTTCTCACATAAATCATAAAGCCAAATCTGACACTGATATTTATAGCTTGAATCTTTCATTCCCCACATGGAAATTTCCCAGTAGATTCTTAGACTATCGTTGTTATCTCTGTTGATGGCCAGTCAGTAAACAAATGTTTATGGAGTCACTACAAAGCACAGACTGACAAATGAAAAGCATACTTTTGATAGCAAGGGATGATTGGTCATGGTCCTCAAATAAAGGAGTTTATGGCTTCAGAACAAAAAACAGACAAACGTTATAACCTGAAATATATCATTGCATCATTATAGTGAGAGGAATCCATTACGAGCTTGGATTGCAGAATGTACTGAAGAAATAGGACAAAAGTGAGTATAGTGAGTGGTCCCAGAATACCTACCACTCACGGGTTCCTTAGTAAGCTCTCTGTGCACCCTTTACCTTCGTTTCTCAAGCTATAAAATGGGATAACGGTAGTATCTACATCATAAGAATGCCATGAGGATTAAATAAGAAAATACATCTGCAACAATTAGAACAGTAGCTGGCACAAAAATATTAGGACTATTGAAAATACTAGGGATCTTTAAAACGCTTCCCCAAAAAAGCCTTGCCCAAAAAAGGTAGTCTGAAAACAGTAAACAGTAACTTAGAGAATAGGAAAACTGAAATAGCTCTTCTTTGTTCACTTTTGAGGAATTCTGAATTGGAATCTAAACAGGATAAACCACTTAATAATAATTCTTTGACTTTAGCCACCCTTAGATTTCTGGCACTTGCTGAACTGCAATATTGAATTTTGCATTTATAATCTCATTTTTTCTAGTTATTTCTTCTTTCTTCACCTGTGTAATTTTAACTTAAACTCAGCAATTTACATCTCTTCCTATATAATATCACCTTGTTTCCAGAGAGGGAGCCTAGTCCTCTGAGAAAATTAAGAGACTAAGCTCTAATCCTAGCCTTTCTGCCTATTGGTTGTCTAATTTTTTTTTTAATTTAAACAGATTTATTTATTCACTTAATAATCAAGAAATCCATTCCATATTATCCTTATGAAAAATAGCTACATTGCCCAACCCTAAACATAAAAATTGAAAAAAGTAATGTGTTTTACATTTTTGCAAATCTCTCTAATCTGCAATTTTTTAAGCTGTTTTGGTGATTTCAGCATGCATCCAAGTTTAAGCACCAGTGATATAAGTCTGCTGTCCTTCGCATTCCTATGGTGTATTAAATGAAAGATGTATGACATCTGACTTAAAAGAATACATTTGGATTCTCACATTGATTTCTACATTCAATTTCTTTGGATATATTGCTTTATTTGAAGGACATGAAGAAAAACTTTTACAGATATGTAACTGGAAAATGGAGAAGTATTTTAATAGTCTTTTCAGAGAACTGTGAATAGTCTTCTTTGATACTACACCAAATTTCAACAAGTGTTGGTTCCTTACAGGTTAATTGCTGTGGAATCTAGAAACATATCATTGTGCTTATCATACTCTGTTACATTAAAATCTATTGGTTTATCTTACACATTGAATGAAACTTTAACCCATTCATGATCTTCTATCATGTATCAATCGTTTAGAAAATGTTGATTCATTGTTTTGAATATTAACATATCATTATCTACTATCAAAAAAACACTTTTTTTAAATATTTCCATTGATCCTTTCAGAAATGTTTTTAAGTATGAGGAAGCAGCCAAGCTCACAGTGGCAGATGCAACTTTTAATTTTCACTTATAAGATGAAATTTTGTTATTGGCAACAAACAAAGGAAAATTGTCAGTTGTTTTCCCTAAAGGGAGAATCTTACTTTGTTCATTTTTGAGGAAATATCTGCCAAATACCCAAGTTTAAACAACCATAATTTTTCTGGCCGTCACACTTTCAAGTAAAAAATACTGTTCCAAAAAAAAAAAAGAGAAAGAGAAAAAAAAGTCTATGCTGGTTTAGCTCACAACGCAAACAATTGCATAAGTGCTTTTCCCCAAGACAAGAATTGTACTTCAATGTGCAGCACAGTACTTTACACATACTTCTTATTTCATCACCCAGCATATGTAAATGATACATACTCAAGGTTCAAAGTTTAATAAAATTAATATCTCTTACTGCTTCACTGAGGGAATTTTTCAACAACACTGATTTTTTTACTGTGTGTGGCAGTGAAAAATACAATGTTCCTGTAAAAATTGGCATTGCAGCCTTGCTTCATGCTAAGGCACCAGCGCTTTTATCCACCACTGATTTTGCGCCATCAGTACAAATGTCAACATAGTCAAAAAGAAATCTAGTGCTTCCATGTTATTATGAAAAGTTTTATTTTCATATTATTATGAAAATAAATTATGGACTCCCTGAAAGGACTTTCTTGAAGTCTGTAAAACACAGTTTGAGAACTACTGATCTAAGTCATTGGTTCTCAAACTTGGCTGCCTATTAGAGTCACCTGAGAAGATGTTTTAAATATTGATGCTCAGGCCGCATCTTTGACTAATGAAATCAAAATCTCTGGGTACAGGGCCCTGGCATCAATATTTTTTAAGCTGTTTTGGTGATTTCAGCATGCATCCAAGTTTAAGCACCAGTGATATAAGTCTGCTGTCCTTCGCGTTCCTATGGTGTATTAAATGAAAGAGGAATGACAGCTCTGAGACCCCAGGAAGCACCGGCAGGTTCAGTTCAGAATACTGTAGGTATAGGGTGGCATCTATGCAGAATCCCAAAGGATAATTTTCATGCCTGGATTCCCAGTCTTTGGCCCATTTATCATCACTGTTGCTAAATACAGTAGCATGTGTTATAGAAGAATGCATAAAGCACTGGCCAAGGATTCAAGCTGAGTACTCTACAGCTAACTCTAATATTTATTAGCTTTGTGGTTTGGCCAAAATACTTAGCTTCTTTGCTTCCTTACCCTAAAAATGGTGATGATAATAACAACATCTATTCTCAGTGGGTGGTTAGGAGGATTAAATGAGCAAATATATGGAAACTCTTAAAACAGTTCTTGGCACACTGGAAGCACTAAATGTCAGCCATTAATACTATCCACTGAAATGTAACTTTCAGTGATACATCAAAAGTGCCTATCAGACAATAAGCACTTCTTGAATAAACGAATGCAGAAACATCACAATTAGAGCAAAGGAATCATGTCATGAAGCCTGGCTTTATCACTTACTGTGTTCACTTGATAAGTTATGTAAACTTTCTGAGTTTCAGCCTTATCCACACTTTACCCTGTGCGCTTCTGTTTCCTCACATATAAAACAAAAGGTTTAGATCATCTTCACGGTTTCTTTCATCTCTACAATGTAATGATCTTATTGCTTATTTATATTTTTTTCAATGGCATTCATACAAATTAAATTTTATTTGGCCACTATGAATATAAGAAATATGACTTTATATAAGACTTATATAAAGACTTGGAAGAAATATAAGACTTTCTTCCAAG